TATTTTATTTTTTTTTTAATTTTGGTCTTTTTTTGAGACAGGGTGTCCCCGTAGCCCCAGCTGGCCTGGAACTCACTATGTAGACCAGGCTGGCCTTGAACTCACAGAGATCCACCTGCCTTTGCCTCCTGAATGCTGGGATTAAAGGCGTGTGCCACCATGCCCGGCATTGAAGCTTTAAGAGTTCTTTGTAGGGCCAGGCATGATGGCACACACCTTTAATTCCAGCACTCAGGAGGCAGAGATCAAGGCCAGCCCAGTATACATAGCAAGTTCCAGGCCAGTTGGGGTTATGGGGAGACCCTGTCTCAGAATAAAATGAATAAATAAGTAAATAAGAGTTCTTTGTAGGGCTACAGGATGGCTCAGTAGGTGAAGGTGCTTGCTGCCATGCCTGATGATCTCAATTTGATCTTTGAGACTCACATGGTAGAAAGATAAAACCAAGCCCCACAGGTTGTCCTCTGAACTGTGGCATGTGCCCCCCACCATGAAACTGTAAAAAAAAGGAGTTCTTTGTATATTTTAGTTAATAGTTCTTTATCAGATATGTCTCATATTTTTTCCTGTAGCTTTTCTCCTTACTCAATAGTGTCTTTTCTCAGACCAGAAGCTTTTAAGAAATTGTATCATTCCTTATTTCTGTCAAAAGTTTGGTGTTGAATCTAAAACTTTATCACCATAATGAAGTCATCTAGGTTTCCTCCTGTGTCATCTTCTAGAGGTTTGTTTTTCTCTTTACACATAGGTCTTTGATCCATTTTGAGTTAATTTGTTTTGAAAAGTCTGTCTAGGCTCATTCTGTTGCATGTGGATGTCTGCTCCAAACCATGTGTTGAAAATGTTCTTTCTCCACTGAATTGCTTCTGCTCCTTAGTCAGAGGTCAGCTAATGATTATTTGTGTCAGACTGAGCTCTCTGTTCTCTTTCATTGACCTCTATTCTTTCACCAATTTAGCAGTCTTGATTCCTTTGGCTTTAAACTCTTGATGTCTGGAAAGACTCTGACTTCACTTTCCTTCACCTATGTTGTATTGACTGTTCTGAATCCATTGCTAATCCACGCTTTCTGCATATTTTTCAGGCTTTTTCCTTCAGAACTTGTAGTTTCACTGTGTTGTGTTGCCATATGGATTCCCCTTTATTTATTTTCCTTGAAATGCATAGGCCTTATTTTTGCAGGGTAATTCCCAGCCATTCTCTCCAATGTTCATTGTCTCTGCCCTTCTCTTCCCTTCCGTATGGTTTTCTGAGTAGATGATTGTTACACCTTCTTTCTTAGACATATGTGGCCACTCTGCATTATCTGTCATTATTCCTGCTTGTGTTACATTCTGGGAGATTCCTTCTGATCTGTTTCAAGCTAGTCAATACTGTGTTCTGTTGTAGAGAATAAAGTCCTATTGAATTTTAAATTTTTTGCTTCTAGAAGTTCTATTTGGTTCTTTTTAAAAAGATGACATTATTTTTTATATCTTTAATAGATATTTAAGTTTGTCTTATTTTCCTTTTAAACACCATATAGTTTTTTAAAGTCTATTCAGGGTCATGCATGGTGGTGCACACCTTTAATCCCAGTACTCAGGAGGCAGAGGCAGGCAGATCTCTGTGAGTTCGAGGACAGCCTGGTCAACATAGAGAGTTCCAGGCCAGCTGGGACTACAGGGAAGCCCTGTTTCAAAAAGACCAAAAAAAAAATCTATTCAGATAATATCTGAAGTCTATTAGCAGTTGTTTCTATTCATTCTTGCTGAACTTAGGCTGCTAAATCTACCCAATTAGTCATAAAACTTTGTTTTACAAGGTTTGTTATGTGCCTTGTCAGAAAGTGATACTGCCTCCTTTTCTACTTGGCACAAGGTGTTAGTCAAGGTGTATTTATTAATAATTGTCATCTACTTTACCTTATCCTGCAAGGAGGTGGTCTTCAGAAGCTATGGTACCAGCAGTGAATTGAAGCTGAACTGAATGCCTTCTAGAGCTGAAGCAGTACCCTAGTCACTTATCTCAAACCAGGGACAGCCTTATGCTACCCTTCTCACTGTAGGCAGGATGCCCACAGAGCACCATCTGCAGATAGTGGTCAATTTCAGGTGCAGCCTACAGGAGAATTTTGGGGTAAAACAGTGATGTCTAAGACTTGGATTTAAATATTCCATTTTGGAGGGTTGTATGGAACATTTGGCAAAAAATGTTGGTAATTGCTGAAGCCAAGCTCAGCTCAGCTTTTGAACATGTTAAAAATGTCCTTGAGAAGCTGTTGCCTTTTCCTCTTTAAAAGCATCTTCCTTGGTCTCTCCCTCTCTTTGATTCCTCAGGCTGATGTGATGGCAGACAGGGTACCCTGCTGCCCGGTCTGCACTGGTGTCGTGAAACCTGATATTGTGTTCTTTGGGGAGCCGCTACCCTCAAGATTCTTACTGCATTTGGCTGATTTCCCCATGGCAGATCTGCTGCTAATCCTTGGGACTTCTTTAGAGGTTTGCTGAAAGGCATGTGGGGATTGGTGGGAGGAAGGTGGGTATGGAGGGTCACTACCTGGGGCCTAGTGGGTGGTGCCATCTTAGCAGGTGAGTGGACTCTATGGTGGTGGAATTCCAGTGTTTGGGCACAATAGCTGTGCAGGAAGGCACAGGGGTTTACTGAAGGGGTGGCCAGTCAGGCAGGCCTTCCAAGCCAGATCAAGACTGAAGAGACTGATCCAGGTATGGAGCTATACCTTAGGATGGACAGCAGATAGCAGTCCTGAAGAGCAGTGGTACACTGAAAGGTAGACCTGTGGCCAGGGTTGGGAGGAGGCTGGCTGCTGCAGGGTCAGGGATTAAGCTGGTGGGGGTGGGGGGTGGGGAGTCAGAGGGTCAGTGGAGTTGGGGTCTGCACATGGATGGGAGGTGCCTGGGAGATGCCTACTGGAGGTGTCTAAAGAGCTCATTTGCATCAGAGTGAATGCCAGAAAATTTCTAAAAGGTATGAAGGGAACAAGAGGTAAGACCAAGGGCTGGGGCCCAACTGGGTATAGCCATAGGGGCATAAGGGCCAAAAAGCCTTGTTCATGGGCCCATCTGAGCAGAGGCTCAGGGCTGTATGCACTCAGTGTGTTACTGTTGCCACCAGCCTTAGTTTGCTTTCTATTGCTTTGATAAAATACTCTACCCAAAAACAACTTGGGGAAGAAAGGGTTTATTTGACTTACACATCCCAATTATAGTTCATCACTGAGGGAAGTCAGGGCAAGAACTCAAGCAGGAACCTGGAGGCAGAAGCTGAAGTAGAGACCATGGAGGAACACTGCTTACTGGCTTGCTCTTCCTGGCTTGCTCAGCTTCTTCTCAGGTGTCCAGGGATGGTACCACCCCAGTAGGCTGGGCCCTCCTACATCAACCAGCTGTCAAGAAAATGCCTGATACAGACAGACCTACAGGGTAATTTGTTGGAGGAAACTTTTCAATTTCAGTTCCCTTTTCCCTGGTGTGTCTAGTTTGTGTTAACTTGAAAAACACTGTCCTGGTGCTTCAGACCATCAAAGAGATGGAAACATAAGACATCATTTGGGATAGTGTTCAGTAAGGGGAAAATACCAGAGTGAACATTGAGGCACTCAGTGCAGAGGGGCTGCATTGGAAACGTGGCTACCTAGTGTGGGCCTTGTTAGAAGGTCTTGGTAAAGGTGATGTTTCAGTTTAGGGGTTTGGCAGGGACACCACATGGTGGCCAGCAGTGAGAGTAGGGCCACCAGGGTGGTGATCAATGGCAAGGCTGATGCTCTTCCTGTTGAAAGGGCTCCTGTGGGCTGTGCTGTGAATTGGTACTGGGTTTGGATGGTGCTGGCAGGTGGTCAGGTAAACCAGCCAGGGCAGGGGGCAGGGCCTTGGGTATAAAGGCAGAGTGCACTTTGCTATGTGGTGTGTGGGTAGACATGAACTACCATAGAACTATAAAGTGTGTCCTGTTTCTTGGTGAAAGGGTTTGAAACACCAGGAGCTCAACTAATGTTGCATATATTTGAGGTAGCAAGAAGTAGATGAGCCAGTAGTGAGCTGGACGTGGTGGCGCATGCCTTTAGTCCCAGCACTGGGGAGGAAGAGGCAGAGGCAGAGGCAGACGGATCTCTGTGAGTTCAAAGCCAGCCTAGTCTGCATAGTGAGTTCCAGGGCAGCTGGGGGTTACAGGAAGACCCTGCCTCAAAAAGACCAAAAAAAAAAAAAAAAGAAGATGTGAGAGGTAAAGTCATGAAGGACGCAAAGATGGAGCTGAATATAAATTGAGGAAACAGAAGAATCCAGGATGCTGGCAGGCACAGGCCTGGTATGGAAAACAGTTTTGCGGGGAGGAGGGCAATCAGGGGCCAAAGACTTGGCCCTGGGGTCTGTACTCAGTGTATGGGTTCAGTCCTGCTGATCATGATAGCTATCAGGTTTGGACACTGAGGCAACCACTCATCTTTATTTTTGGTGTTAAATGGAAAAAGCCTTTTCTCCCTGGTTAAAAAAGTACCTTGTAGCCAGGTGTGGTGGCGTACGCCTTTAATCCCAGTGCTTGAGAGGCAGAGGCAGGCAGATCTTTGAGTTCAAGGCCAGTCTGGTCTACATAGTGAGTTCCAGGACAGCTGGGGCTACAAGGAGATCCTGTCTCAAAAAGACAGAAAAAAAAAAAAAGTACCATGTAATCCCAACACTTGGGAGGCAGAGGCAAGTGGATCTCCATTAGTTCAAGTCTAGCCTGGTCTACATAATGAGTTCCAGGCTAGCCAGGGCTTTATAGTGAGACCCTGTCTCAAAACAGAACAAAAAGTACCATATACTTCTTTTAAAAAATTTATGGGTCTGGCCATGGTGGCGCACACCTTTGATCCCGGCAGGCACTTGGGAGGCAGAGGAAGGCAGATCTCTGTGAATTCAAGGCCAGTCTGGTCTACATAGTGAGTTCCAGGACAGCTGAGGCTACAGGGAGACCCTGTCTCAAAATAAAAATAAAAATAAAATAATAAAACTAAATTAAATTAAATTTAAAAAAATAAAATAAAGTAAATAAGTTAAATAAAATTAAATTAAATGAAATAAAAAATAAAAAGGTTCATGGGGCTGGAGAGATGGCCCAATGGTTAAGAGCACTGGCTGCTCTCGCAGAAGACCTGGGTTCAGTTCCCAGCACCCACATGGCAGCTAACAACCATCTGTAACTCCAGTTCCAGGGCATCTGACACCCTCTTTTGGCCTCCACAGGCATTGCATGACACAAGTACACTTACTTACATGGAGGCAATACACGGATACACATAAAATAGAATGTTTAAAAGATTTATATAATGATAGAGGCAAAGTGAAGAGTCACCTTTAATCCCAGGAGCTGCTAACATTTTGGCCTGTGCCTTCTCTGGTTTCTTTCTTGGGTAAAATGGCCAGAAATTGGAGAACACTGTGTTTTGAGCATGGTGTGAGCATCTACCTGGAGCAGCCTTGCTTGTGTCCTACTAGTTGCTCCCCCCTGTAAATGTGAAGGCCCAGCCAGGAGGCCAAGCCTCAGGCCAGTACCAGTGTGAGCTGATGATGACTCTGCAGTGTCCTGAATGGGCTACACCCATGTTTATGGAAAAAATAGCAATGTGCTAGATTGTGGAGCACTACTATGGATCTACACTGTGTCCTATAATGTATCCATATAAACCAAACAATATTTTCTGAAATATGACATATTCAGAATTCTGAAACATATCCAGCCATGAGTTGTAAGATAAGGAATTGTGGATCTGTAACAAAATTTGTTTAAGGAATTTCTTATGCAATTTTTGTAGTAAGTCTGCCTGTAGTGACTATCCATGTGTGTGTGTTTTACAGAAGGGTTTCTATAGGACAAGTGCTGATAGTGAATAAGGGTCCATCTTATACTGTCACCAATGCCAAAAAGACTTTTTTAGTTTTCTGTCAATCTGATTAGTTAAAAATAGATACTATGGAGGCCTCTCTCCTACCTGCAGGCCTCTCTCTGGGGTAAGTCCATTGCACCCTCTGTGCCTTGACTCCCCCAGCCTCATCCACCCTCCCATCTCCCCTGCCGCTCACCAATGCCAAAAAGACTTTTTTAGTTTTCTGTCAATCTGATTAGTTAAAAATAGATACTATGGAGGCCTCTCTCCTACCTGCAGGCCTCTCTCTGGGGTAAGTCCATTGCACCCTCTGTGCCTTGACTCCCCCAGCCTCATCCACCCTCCCATCTCCCCTGCCGCTCTCTCCTCCTAGTTTGGGTCCTGCCCCATTCCTTGTCTTGGGGCCCCAGACACCTGGGGAACCAATACTGCTTCCTGATCCTTTTCATCCACACCAACCTAGTGCCTTCTCTGGGCCCCAGGAGCACTGCTTCTGGGCTTGGTCCCGCCCTCACCTCCCTTTGCTTCCCTGGGCCTGCACCACCCACTAGCCTCTTTCAGGGACATGGGGGATGACCTTTCCTCTTCCTGATCCTTTGCATCCAGACCAACACAGCTCCTCGGTGCAGTCCCCAGGAGTCCGTGGGGCCTCTTCCTGCCCCATCTGCCTTTGCATTTCTGGGTGGCATGGCCACCAGCTGCCCTAGACCAGCATCTTTCATGGGCCAGGCTCCCAGGCCAGTCCAACCCCCAAATTCCTGAGGCCAAAATCATTCCTGGAGGGATCCAGACCTTAGGAGAAAGCCTGAAAACATCTGACCCTCACCTGAATTGGGCCTCTGTGGGAACTCCTGAAGACAAAAGCAATCTGGCCACTCCAATACAAAATCAAAAGAGA